TGGTCCATCCTTAATTGATTATTTTTTCAGGAAAGATGAGGTGGAATTTCTGAGTTCTTACGTATCTGAACATGTCTTCATTTTACCCTTACAGCTGACCGATGACAGCTTGGTTGGGAATGATATTCTGAGCCTCAGGATTCTGCTTCACAGTCTCCTGGCCCTGAGTGTTGGTGAGAAGACTGGTACCAGTCAGATTTCTGATCTATTGTAGTTGACCTGTTGTTTGTTCTCTGGAAGCTTTTAGGATCTTCTCTTAGTATTTGATGAACTATAAGATCACAAGGTAATCATTAAGTATGGGTCTGTTTTTATTTTGCTTGGCACTCAGTCATTTTCTCAATATGAAGATTCCTATCTTTCTTTAACTATTGGAAGTTTTCTTCTATTATTTCTCTCATTATTTTCTCCCTTCCATTTTCTTGTCTAACTTCTGGAACTATTAGTTGAATATTGTTTTTCCTAGACTATATGGTCTTCGGACTTTTAAAAATATTTCTTTTCCTCTGCCAGTTTGCTTTATTTACACTTTGGAAGATTACATTGACCTTTTTTTCAGCTCTTATGCTGATTTTTATTTTAGAAACTATTTATATTTTAAATTTTCAGCAATTCTTTTTTGTCTCTGATCATATATACATATATACAAATACATGTGTGTGTGTATTATTTTATGGATACAATGTCTTTGCAAATTTTCCTGATCATTAATTAGAATACAAAATTGTCTTATGTTCCCAGAATGATCTGAGGTCAGCTTTTTTTCTTAATAGTTTTTTTTTGAAATATTAAATCTATACCTTCTTTTGGTTGTTTTTAACTAAATGAACTAGAAAATGTGCATCAGGAAAATGGCCTATACTTTGCCTCCAAATTTTTTTTAAATCAACTGCTTTTATTATTCATCTATTTCATGGAAAAGAGAATATAGCAAATGAGTCAGGTGGAATGAAAAAAAACAACACAGGTTTGAACACTTTGCCTTATTTGCATCCTGGATCCTCCTATTCTCCTTCACAGACACAGCCCTGGCGCACGGGGCACATCGCCCAGGGCAGCAGGAGCAGCAGCTCTTCTCGCAGGAGGTGTATTCACAGGAGCCGGCACAGGTGCAGGATCCACCACGGGGGCAGGAGCAGTTGGGGTCCATTTCCAGCAGTTTTGAGGTCCAAAGCAGGAGGCAGGGCACTTATGCTATTGCAATGCGTGGCTGCCTCAATCTTTAAAAAACAATTTATGAAACATTTCAAAGATATGCAAAGTAAACAAAGAATAAGTCCTATATACTTATCACCCAGCTTTAATAAATATCCATATTCCACCATTCTTGTTTCACCTATACCTCCAACCCACTCCTGTAAATTTTATAACCAAATTATTAATTAAACAATCTTTTATGTTGAGTTTGTCATTTGAACATATTTTTCATTTAGTAAATGATCCGGTTAGATAACATACAACTTTTCATAAAGCACTTAACACAGTGGATCACAGAATTAAAAATTGTAACGATGAAACCCCTACCATTTACAGAGCATTTTTCTGTGCCAGATATTGTGCTCAATGGTTTACAGAACATTCGTTCATTTAACTTAAGATGATCAATAATGCAATTGTCTGCCCTTTAATCTTGAAGGGATATAGCGATGCTGTTTGTTAAAGGATTAGTTAAAAAAAAAAATTATAACCAATGTGTGAAAAAGTACATTTTCTGTGGAGAGGAGTGTGTATTCACAACTGTGTTTCTCAGATACAATTTTGTATCTGAATGCCAACACAATTTTAGCTGCTGCTTGTGGGGAAGGACTATTTCTAAGGACATCTTAATATCTATTCTCTGAGGGACAAATAACAGACTTTCAGTGATTCAGTACCATAGCTATAACACATCAGTTATAACACCAAGTTACAAATAAGATGATGCTATAGGTACTGAAATACTTTTTTTTCTGTACATGTGATTCTAAACTTCAGGAATAAAGTAAGAGTTTTAGCAAATTAAGAGCCAAAATATCTTGTTTATTCCATAGAACATAGAAAACGTATTCTGTTCATAGGACAGTATACTCAGTCAGTGGCTGCCAACTCTGTTTCTCTCATTTGGCCTCCTTCAGCTTTGTGAAATTTCCCCAGAGTGCTGCGAGCATTCACTGTGGAGGCAGTGGAGAAGATGGGCATTTGAATCCATGTGCTGTTGTCTGATAGTTTTTTGACCATGGGCCAATTATTTAATTTCACTAAACCTCAGTTTCCTCATTTACAAAAGTAGGGAAATAACACCTCCTTCCTTAAGGTATTTGTGAAGATTAAGAAAGAAATGATACTAAGCAAGTGGTATAGAGCCTAAGACTTAAGTATGTGTAAATAATTGTTGTTGTTATTACAATGGGATTCATAGGCACCCTCTATAGGTAGTGTAGTCAGATTTAGCAAATAAGAGTACAGGATATCCAGTTAAATTGGAATTTAAGGTGGACAAGAATAATTTTTTTAGTCTAAGAATGTCCCAAATATTGCATGGAATATACTTGTACTAAAAAATTATACTCCATTTCATCATCCACCTGGCAAAATAATTTCTTTTATTGGAGTAGGCCTCTCACAGGTACCGGCTGAGAGAGAATGTGCAGAGGACAAAGAGCCACAAAGGATTTTGCTTCCTTAACAATGGGAGATGTGTCCTTGGGGGTTCCAATCACCAACCTGTCTGTTAATAACCTAACAAACTAACCAATGGTGCCACAAAGACCACAATAATTTTTTTGTAAGAGAATCTTAGGACCCCAGCCAGTGTGGCTCAGCTGGTTGGGCATCACCTAGCAAACCAAACCAAACCAAGCCAAAAGGCCACTGGTTTGCTTCCCAGCCAGGTCACATGACTAGGTTGCCAGTTTAGTCCCTGGTGGGGGAATATGCAGAAAGCAGCCAGTTGATGTTTCTCTCTCACACTGATGTTTCTCTCCCTCTTCTTTTCTCTCTCTTCCCCTCTCTCTAAAATTAAAAATTAAAAAAAAAAATAGCTTTTTTAAAGGGAGCCTTAGGTACAGTCAAATAAACTTGCAGGGAATAAAGCTATGATTAAGTATCATATTAAATCTGCTCAGACTTGGTAGTCCACTATCTCCTAATACACTCAGTATTTTCTCTTCCAGGTAATGTTCAACTATCATATATCTGAAACAAATAGTTCCCCTGTTTTGGAGTAAAATATAAACTTCTCTCCAAACTGAAATCTGTTGGGATCTAGTTACTGTAAAAAATATGAAAGTCATATTAACCACCACTAAAAATATACAAACTACCAATTTCTGACAGCATGCAATGTCTTTGAAACACTATTTCATAATGTTCTTGCTTACCATATTTTCTTTGTGTGTGCCAAGTAATTTATTTCTCAGTGTGCTTGTTATTAGCATGGGCACTCACACATCCAAAATAAATAAAGCAGATGGATTTTATATTTTATTCCAGACTCTAACTCTTCCCTCTTACCAAAACTAAAAAGTCCATTATCAACTGTGTGTACCAGTACTTTAGCTTTCTTTTAATTTGTAATAGGATTTTTAATGAGATAAAAATAATTAACTACTTCCATTCCTAAATTGTTTCAACCTTGTATGTGAACTAAAGAAAAGGTCTACTTGCACCGTGTTTTTCTATTTCTAATACTAATTTCATGCCAGTTTTTACAAAATGCTTCTACAAATCTTTGTATGTCACTAGCTCAAAAAAGTAACTGGATTTCGGTTATTCCCAAAGTAATTGTAAATTTAGCTTCCCTAAATGCGGGGAGGGGGGTTCATTTTACAATATTATATTCTCCCATCTCTTTTTCACTTGTGGGAGACCTAATTCCTAATTTCTTGCTTTGATAAGCAAAGTGAGCCAGAATCTCATTATCCATTTAGTCCTTTGCATTTGCAGGCTGTTTAAACTTTCAGGTGGATTATAATGCATCCTTTCAAACACGAAGATGTGTACTAAATTTTTTCATTCATAACTTTTTATTTGGTAATAAAACAGAGGCAGTGCTCCATTTCTTTTTCCAAAAACCCGCACTTTCTGCCCAAACTCATATTGAAATCTTTTCATCTTGTTCCAAGAGTCGCAGAGCACGGTACTCTTCAGCTCCATCTCGTGTAGGAAAGGTAGACTGCACCTCAGCTCGGACCAAGGGGAGCATTCACTACAGCGAAAAAGATGAAAAGCCGGGGAAGTTATTTAGGCATCAACACGAAATGAATTGATTTCCTGTAGATGAAGAATCTCAGTGTCTGGAGAAAAGCAGAAGGCTCTTCGTTGAGAGAAACCTTAGGAAAGCATGTACTGTATATTGACTTCCTTGATCAATTCTGGAGAAATATTATACTCCATTTAATCAAGACTGGCATATTTAGAATGAAATTCCCATTCACCCCAGATTCCTGGTTAAGTCCGTCAAAAGAGCCAAGGACGGACGTTCTCTGAGCAGCAGTATATGTATAATACAGCACACTATCTTTTAGTCACGTCATAGAGCTCAAACGAGATCGCCTGGAGACGGCTTGGGAGGTAGCTGCAGAAAGGAAGGGTAAGCCCGTCTCGGGTGAGGGCGTCTTAGGCGGGGTGGAGTCCTTTCCGTGCTTTGCAGGTCGGACGCCGCAGGCAAGGAGCCGAGAGGACCGCTGCCCGTAGCATCGCTCCAGACTCCTCTTTCTGAGAAACCTGCGGGTGGGGAACGCCACCTTTTGCTTGTTATTATAAATTTTCTTCTTACTAAGATTTTAGGATTTTTAAAGTTGCTCTGTGAAGTTTATGCTTCCTCCGACCAAGCTGGAAGAACCCTTAAGCGATCCCGGACTTGAGCAAGAGAGTAGCAGGGTGCGGCGGGGGCGAGCCCCGGCTGTGGGCGGGGCGCCCTCGCAGCCTGGGGCTGCGCCAGGCCGCGGGCGGGAGGCGGTGGCGGCGGCAGTGGCGGCGCGGATCCAGCGGAGCGGGGATTGGCTGCGGCGGGCGGAGACGTCAGGCTCCCGCGGCCTCAGCGGTAGCCCCGCTCGGCGCGGCGCAGTCGGTTCGAGTGAGCACAGTACAGAGGAGGTGTCCTCCGCTCTTCCACCTTCTGCCACCGACGCCGGGCTGTGCCGCTTGAGCCGGGACGCACCTCCGCGCTCCTCGCCGCTTCGACCCCCGCGGCCGCCACTCCCCTTGCTGTAGGCGCACACACCATGACGAAGAAAGACAAGAAGTCCTTCAACCAGACCCTGGCCGAGTGGAAGCTCTTCATCTACAACCCGACCAAAGGAGAGTTCCTGGGACGCACCGCCAAGAGCTGGGGTGAGCAGGCGGCAGTTAGGCGCCCGGGGCCGGCCGCGGTCCAGGCGGCCCCCGGAAGGGTCGGATGGGAAAGGAGAAGCAGGAGACGGCTCCCCGCGCGGGGGGCCCCAGCAGCAGTCTACGCCGTCCGCAGCGGTTTTCGTTCCGGGCCTCCAGACTCTAATCCGAGGGCGGCCCATTCATTTTCTCGGGGCGGGAGGGCCGTCGCTTGCGGCCGAGGCAGCGGGCCCGCGGACAGCCCGGCCGCGCCGGTTTCTTCCTCTCGGCCCAGAGCGCACGTGCTGCCCGGGCCTCTCGCCCTGAGCGGCGCCGGAAGCCGGCGACCTCCGCCCGGAGCCGAGCTCCGAGCGCTCGGGCCTCTTTTTGTACGGAGCGTGCCGGAGGAGAGAGGCCCTGGCGGAGGCGCTGGTGGCGCCGAGAGATTCGGGGAAGCCAGACCCTGCCCCACGCCCGGGGAGAGGAAATTTCCACTCCCTCCGCTATCTTGTGACTCGTCCACGCTACCACCCCAACAGGACAGAAGAGGGAGAGTGAATGTTAAGTGTGTGGGATGCATGAATGCTGTGGTGAGTTAAGCCAAGCGCATCGTCCACGAAAATGCACTTGAATTTGGACAGTGAAAAGACCTTTAAAACTTGGTTCTTCCCTAATTCCTTTAATTACAGAGGTTTTCTTTATTAGGAAAATTGCTTCTTTGGGAGAAAGTAAATACTATCTGAAGGGCACAGTGTTTTTCTGTGCCTTCAAAACGATGTGATCGTTGAATATGTTAGCATTTTATCTATGCATGAGTTCTTTGTTTTAAAAGAAATATTTAAGCCATTCACCAGTGTAGTACTGCTTTAGGGTGCCTCTTTTTGGAAAAATTAAGTGAACAAGTTTTACTCTTTGTGGGCCTTTTGAAAAATGTTTTGTAAGTGGGTCTCGACAGAACTGTTTTTCTGAGTGAGAATAAATTTCTGGAATTGAGAAGTATTGGGACACATTTTTAAGAGAACCATAAAGAGTAAATTAGGCATGACTTAGAAAATAAACTTGATGCTGACAAATCGGCTCCTCCAAAGTGGATGGAAAGGTGGCTTAAGTCATATCACGAGCTGAAAGGGGCCTGGGAGGCTTTTTAGCTCAATCCCCATGTTAGAAAAGAAAAAAAAAGGAGATGTGGAGAGGTTGTGATTTTGCTTTGTGTAAAATTACATATTCCACAGAGCCAAGAAAAGAACCCAGTTCTTCTTTAATCCTAGTCCAGCGGTTGTATTATTTTACAGATGCCTTGCCTAACTACATGGTAATCACTCACAATTTTTATTTAAATGGCTGTCTTTTGGGAACCCACTAGTGTGATGAGGAAATACGTCTTGCATCCGGAGTTAAATGGGTGGGGGGAATAGTGAACAATTATTATTGTTTCTCAAGTGTACTAACTTTTGCTGAAGGAATTTTTGAGTTGTCAAGAGGGATTAATTTTTGTAGACTAACTTCCTTTCTCCCTTCCTCAGTGCCTTCTCATTTCCAGTGATTAGTATCTTCACTTAGTGTTAGAATGACATGACATTTTAAACTGGAGATCGTGCTCTCTGTATCTAACCTTTGTATTGTATGATGTTGGGGTAGAGGATTTTTTGGTCTGTGCATTTACATGGATAACGTGCACAAATTATCAAAAAATGGGGCATTCTATAAGGGCAGTAGAAGTACAAGAAAAGTTGGGATTAGTTTTTTAGCAGGATTAAGGCCAGACCTTTATCAAAATTGAAAATAAAGTATTACGCTTACCAACAAATATTAAATTTGTTTATTGTAATAATAGTGCAGGATTGCATAATAGGTGAAAATTATCCATATTATCCAATTATCCCAATCTATGGGCATCCCTCCAAGAACAGGTAGGGGAGTGATGTGTGGAGGCTGAAATCCATACTCAGCTCACCAGGCTGTGTACCCTAGAGTGTGGGGGTCTTCCTGGAGAAAAGGGGTATTTTGTTCTGATTCTCAGAGCGGCACTGCATGAGCTAGTTGATCTCATCATCCCAGAGATGCCCATTATTAGTATTTAGGTATATATCTGGGCAGACTTGAGAAATGTCTGTAACTCCCCCCCCCCCCAACAAAAAGAGATCATACAGCGTTATATAATCTTTTTGAGTATATTGTGGTCATCTTCCATGTTAATAAGGATCTGTATTACCATTTTTAATAGCTGACCAGTGTTCCATTGTATAGTTAGATGTTCTGTGATTTTTTTAAATGAACAGGTTTATTAACATGTATATTTCATGTATGCATGAGACATACAAAGGGAAAAAATCAGTGACTTCTGATTTTTTTTTTAAACCAGTGCATTATTGTATGTACTGGTCCTTCCGCCTTCTGTTCCCTTCATTTTTAAAGATTTATTTACTTGAGGTTTTTCTACTGGTAGAATTTCTAGGTCAAGTATAATATCTATCTTCTATAACTTACATTTTGAAAGCATGTTAAACTTAAGAAAAAAACCCATTTGTACAAAAGCTTTTTTCTAGTTGCTTTTGAATTTAATGTAAGTGGTGATGGGGATGATTACACCTTTTTTTGATCTTGGTAAAGTTGCTGCTGGGTCTGTTGGTGTGTAAAGAAAGTCCTTTTCTATCTACCCCAGGGATTTTATAAGGCATTTATCTAAGATGTCCCTGATTTTATTTTTATGTTTGTCTTATAATCTGAGATTCCTTTCCAGATTCATTAGATATATTAAAAATACAAATACTTACAAAGCAACTTTGCCATTTACAGTTGGAGTACAGTGAAAACACTACATGTTAAACCATATTGCCTTATTTAAAACAGCTATATATGAAGATTTTGAGTAGCCACTTGATTATGTAATAGCTTACACTTGGTTACAGCAGTTTAAAATGCTCTTAAATACATAAAATCACTTCATTTGATTTTCACAACCTTCTAAATCACACTGTGTAGTTGACCGAGTGTACCTAGAGCCGGTTTTTTAAGCACAATAGTCAGGACACATCAGGAATAAATAGTTGCCATTTATGGAGAACACAGGACAAAGAGAATTTAGCACTTTGTGACTGATGGTGCTAATATTAAGCCTAAATGCATTAAACACAAGTAAAATCAAAGTAGTGAAAGATAGCCCAGAGATCATTGTTATTTAAACTGTAGTGAACCATGTGTTGCAATTAACATTTTTTTAAACAATAAAATAGTAAAAAAATCAAAGGTTATTCTATGGAAAAATGCTGTTTCATGAAACTGGACTATATTTTGTATATATAGATACCCCAGTGTAATATGTATTTCTCACTGTGGGTCAGAGTCAGAAAAGCTTAAAAACTACTAACCTAGCCCTGTGAGAAAGTTGCACCCACAGACCTGACTTGCCAAAATTTACTCAGTGACAGAATCCTTGGGCCTTCAGGCTCCCTCCAAAGGCCAGGAGTTGGTTTTGGTGTTTTTCATTTTTTGTTTTTTTAGAAAGAAAATTAGGACATTTCATGACCTCATCTAATGTTATCTGTCAATAGATGCTGTATGTTAACGTACAGCCTGAGCTACTGATGTCCAAGCAAAGTCAGGATTCTGGACCAAAACTGTTAATACCTATAATTTTGTTCATGTGCCTTCTCTTTCATTATAGGTCGATGAAGTGCCATTTTCTCAATTACTTGCTCCCATTATGGGTCATGCTTCATTTACATTTGGGATACAGTGAAAATACTGCATCTTACACCACATTGCCTTATTTAAAACAGCTATGTATAAAGAGTTTTAATTATATATAAATGCTCTGCTTTGGAGATCAGACACCAGCCCATCTTGGGTGTCTGACGATAGGGATTCCCAGAAGGCAAGTGTGTTTATTTTCTCAGTATCTCATAGTTTTGTAAGGTGTTGTTCTTTGTCCTGTGGAATATGACATACTAAACTTTACAAATCCAAGCACCATTGGAAAAGTAATAGAACTTGCCGTAGCCTGTGTGCAAACTAAGCCTGTGTGCAAACTAAACGAAGGCCATTGGTGGGTGTGGCAGAGGCAGCAGCAGAGGCGAACTGACCGGCCACCCAGTAGGAGACAGGCACTTCTGGGCTGCAGGGGCCGTGGGGGAGAGGGGTAAGTTTCTGTGCTGTGTTCCAGGCACCATTGTGACTACTCTAATACGTGCTTTCCTGTTGGTAAAGAGCAACCTACCCCCATCGCCGAAATAATTTGATTTCTTTGAAATTGAATTTTGAATTTATACCTATAGAATTAGATTAGCTGTATTAAAAGTTTAAAAACCCGCCTGTTTTTTTCTTGCTTTATCATTATGTTTGACTAAGGACCCACCATTTAACACTGATTGTGTAATGGAAGAAAAATCCATTTAACCTTGAAATATAAATTTATTACTGTTTTCTAATAATGCATTTATCATGTTGATTTTGAAATAAAGTCACCTGTAGTGTTTAACCACGTAAAATGACCACTGTTACAATTTTAATGGTCTTTTTCTATGTGTAAATAAAATTTTTTAAATGTATAATGCATAAAAATTTTAAATTTACAGTTAGCTACTTAGTTTTGTCATTTAATGTTTGAGGGGGACGGTTTTTATTCCTCTGCCACCTTCTTAGTGTTTGCTGTGTTGGGGGTGTCCTTGGCTCTCTCCGTCTCTTCTGTGGGACTGGCCACACTTCTGCCAGAACGTATGTATTCTGGTGGCTTTCGTTTCTCTCTGTGTTAGGACTCCCAAATCCGCATCTCTAGTCCGTATGGCTTTTTCATTTTGTTATAACCAATTGCCTGTTAGAAATATTCAGTTGGATGTTTCATAGGCATTTCTTCATGTAAATCTCCGTTGTCCTCAGGGCCTCTTTCTATTATCTCTCTGGCATACTGCGCTCCTGTCCTCTCTCTCTGCCATTCCACACAGTTCTCCTGCCCGCTGGGCCTGTGTCCTAGCTTCTGAGCATCTTTCCTTCACCTTGACATGGCTACTCAGGTGTCAGCTTTAATA